GTCACCTCCATCCACCACCTATGCATGAAATTCCCAACACAAAATGGGGTGGCAACGGTGAAAGGTGACTAGAGAGGTTCGTGAAAGTGTTATCTGAGCTCCATTAAGAAGGTAGAACCCCGGGACGTCCACATGATCATGGCTGATGTGGTCATGGCGGATGTCCCAGGTGATGCTCCCACTGACCAGGAAGATGTGGATATGATTGACGCACCCCTTATTCAGGAGGCGCTAATCGTTGATGAGATCAACCCCCGCATAATGGAACATGAGCCTCAAGCGTCCCCCGTAGAGGAACTTGAGAGTTTCTCAGCCGACCCTCGAGATCCGTCAAAGATGTTGAAGATAGGCGGGGGCTTATCCAACATTTTGAGGGAAAAGATCAAGGACTTCCTAGGCAAGAAACTTGACGTCTTCGCCTGGAGACATGAGGACAGGTGGGCATAGACCCCAAGATCAGCTGCCACCACTTGAAAATCGATCCTAATTTTGCCTCGTATAGACAAAAAGGAGAGCCCTCAATCCAGAGAGGTATGAGGCCCTAAAGGAAGAGGTTCAGAAACTCATCCAAAATGGCTTCATCAGGGAGGCCACTTATCCGAAATAGGTCTCCAACCCGGTCTTGGTTGAGAAACACAATGGCAAATGGAGAGTATGCATCGACTTCACCAACCTTAATAGAGCCTGCCCGAAAGATAGCTTTCCGCTTCCAAGGATTGACCAATTGGTGGACTCCACGGCTGGGCACGAGTTGTTGAGCTTCATGGATGCATACTCCGGCTACAACCAGATCCTCATGCACCCGGCCGATGAGGAGCACACCTCTTTCATCACGGATCGAGGCCTCTATTGCTATAGAATGATGCCTTTCGGGTTCAAAAACGCCGGAGCAACCTACCAAAGACTCGTGAACAAAATGTTTACCGACCTCATTGGCAAGACAATGGAGGTCTACGTGGATGACATGCTGGTGAAAAGCTTAGAAGCAGAAAATCACGTAGCGCACCTCAACAACACCTTCCAAATCCTGAAAAGGTACAGGATGAGGCTCAACCCCCTAAAATGTGTCTTCGGGGTGGCTTCCGGCAAGTTCTTGGGGTACATGATGAACCAGCGAGGAATTGAAGCAAATCTCGAGAAGATTGAGGCTCTGTGCCAGATGAGGTCCCCTCAAAAGCCAAAGGAGGTGCAAAGCTTAACTGAGCGAGTGGCAGCACTTAGTCGCTTTGTCTCCAAAGCAACTGACAAGTGCCTCCCATTTTTCAAAGTGCTCAAGGCTGGGAAGAAATTCCAATGGACTGAGGAATGCGAGAAGGCCTTCCAAGAATTAAAAAGGAACTTGGGGCAGGCCCCCCTCCTCTCCAAGCCGAAGCCCGGCGATATCTTGCAACTATATCTCGCCGTCTCCAATGACACCATCAGTTCGGTTTTGATTCGAGAAGAAGGGTCCACCCAACTTCCCGTCTACTATACGAGTAAAGTGCTCCTATCGCCTGAGACCCGATACCCCGATATGGAGAAGCTTGCTTTGGCCCTAATCACGGCCTCTAGGAAATTGAGACCTTACTTCCAAGCTCATACCATCCATGTACTTACAAATTTTCCCCTGAGGCAAGTACTCCAGAAGCCCGATGCCTCGGGAAGATTGTTGAAATGGGCTGTGGAACTAAGTGAATTTGACCTTATGTTCAAAGCAAGGGCGGCCATCAAAGGGCAAGCTTTAGCAGACTTCATTGCTGAATTCGCCAACCTACCCAAGGTGGATGAAATCATGGAATCCGTCGAACCTCCCACGTGGAGCCTCTTTGTAGATGGCTCAGCTGGGGATGTCGGCTCAGGTGCCGAGGTTGTCCTCATCAGCCCCGAAGGTCACAAACTCACCTCGGCCGTGAGGTTCGGGTTCAAAGCCACCAACAATGTTGCAGAGTATGAAGCACTCCTTGCAGGCCTCAGACTGGCCAAGGAAATGCAAGTAAAGAAGCTACTCGTCAATAGCGACTCCCAGCTGGTTGTTAGCCAAGTCAATGGTAATTTCTCAGCCAAAGACAGGACAATGGCCTCTTATCTGAAAATGGTGATGAGCCTCATCCCATCCTTTGAAAAGTTCGAACTAACCCAGATTCCCCGCATCGAAAATGCTCATGCGGATGCACTCTCGAAGCTGGCTAGTAGCAAAGACTCAGAGCTACTCACTATAGTGCCTGTGAGCACCTCTTACTGCCTTCTACCGAGGCCCCTAATATCATGTGGGTCGGTGGAATTCCCACCTGGATGCAACCAATTATAGCATATCTGAAAGACCAGATGCTACCCCCCCAACAAGAACGAGGCTTACAAGCTAAGAAGGAGGTCAGCCCATTTCCTCTTCATCGATGACGTTCTCTACAAGAGAAGTTTCTCCTCTCCACTCTTACGATGCGTCGGAGAAGAAGAGGCTACCTACATACTAAGAGAAGTCCACGAGGGAGTTTACGGCAACCACTCTGGAGGCCTATCCCTGGCGCAAAAGATACTGAGGCAAGGGTACTACTGGCCTACCCTGAAACGGGATGCCCTCGAATTTATGTGAAAATGTGACAAGTGCCAACGATTCTCTCCCGTTCAAAGACGACCATCACAGGATTTGACTGCAGTCTCCAGCCTCTGGCCTTTCTCAAAATGGGGTGTGGACCTCATAGGCCCTCTACCAAAGGGTAGAGGAGGCGCAAGTTTTGCGATAGTGGCCATTGATTACTTCACAAAGTGGGTAGAAACTGAACCACTGGCAAAAATCACAGAAGCAAACACCTCCAAGTTCCTATGGAAAAATATCATTTGCCGGTTCGGAATTCCCTACTCGATCGTCTCTGACAATGGCAGGCAATTCGATAACAAGAAGGTTAGAGAACTGTGTGAAGATCTTGGCATAAAGAAGCACTTCTCTACACCGCACCACCCACAAGCTAACGGCCAGGTCGAAGCCGTAAACAAGACAATCAAGCACGTCCTGAAAAGGAAACTTGATGTATCCAAGGGAGCTTGGGTTGATGAGCTGCCCCAAGTTCTTTGGGCAATCCGAACCACCACCAGGACCCCCACCGGCGAGACCCCTTTTCTCATGGCTTTTGGGACCAAGGCAATGAGCCCCGTCGAGGTCGGACTCCCATCTCCACGACGTCTGCACTTCAGCGAGGTGACCAACGACGAGCTCCTGAGGCTCGACCTCGATTTCATTGAAGAGAGGAGGGATGACTCCCAGTTGAGACTAGGCACCTATCAAAGAAAGATGACAAGGTACTTCAACTCCAAAGTCAAGAAGAAGTCATTTCGAATCAACGATCTTGTGCTCAGGAGGGTCTTCCCATCTTCAAAAGAGCCTGGTTCCGGTTCCTTGGGGCCGAACTGGGAAGGTCCATACAAAATCAGAGAAGAAGTCCGACCTGGGACCTACTGGATTGAAGACATGGACGGCAAGACACAACCCCGTCCATGGAACATTGAACACCTCAGAATCTTTTATCAATGAATTGTATCAGGCTGGATGACTTTCCCAGCCTTTGTAATATTTCTATGGCTTAAAAAAAATACGTTGATTAAATCGTCATACTACATCGTCACCTCGGAGGAGAGGCTCGGGACCCACCTCTGGGCCACCTCGCTTGAACTCCGAGGCGCTAGCACATGCCTCCCTTTGGCCTTGCTGAACGCCAAGGGGAGAAGCCTCAACATGGCTGCACCATCCACCATGTCTAGGATGCGTCGTCACCTCGGAGAAGAGGCTCGGGACCCACCTCTGGGCCACCTCGCTGGAACTCCGAGGCGCTAGCACATGCCTCCCTTTGGCCTTGCTGAACGCCAAGGGGAGAAGCCTCAACATGGCTGCACCATCCACCATGTCTGGGATGCATCGTAACCTCGGAGGAGAGGCTCGGGACCCACCTCTGGGCCACCTCGCTTGAACTCCGAGGCGCTAGCACATGCCTCCCTTTGGCCTTGCTGAACGCCAAGGGGAGAAGCCACAACCTTAAGTTATTTTCATTTGCTTAAGTCCGAGGCTCCAACAGTGAAGTTATGTTCATTTGCTCAAGTCCGAGGCTTGAACAGTACATTTCCTTAAGTTATGATCACTTACTTAAGTCCGAGGCTTACACAGTTGACTGATTAATGTCAGGGTACCAAGTTAAAGTTATTTAATTCGTGCTCTAATCAACCTCTAGTTCGCTTGTTTAACGAGGCACAAAAACTTGGATAAAGAACAACAATTAGTGAAGAAAAACATTATATTAATATTCAAAAGGAATTACAAAGGAGGGCCTCTGGCCATTACACAAAGTACTGAAAAGGAAAACCTAATCTAAGCCTAGCTAGCTGGAGGAGGCGCCTCAGACCTTGGGGGTTCGGCAACTTGGGCATCAGTAGTTGCTTCCTCTGCCTTAGCACTTGGGGCTTCAGCATCAGCTGCCTCGTCGCCTTACACCTCCTCAGCTAGGGTCTGAGGAACTTCATCCACAAATTCGGACCTAAGTTGTGCCAGGTCCAAGTTAGGATAAAGCTCCTCTGCCCTCTCCAGCACTTCGGCATAGGCGAAGTTCCTCCAGTACGTGCTGAAGCTTTTATACTCCTATGTGGTGTGGAAATTGGCGATGTATGCCTTCACCGCCTCTTCCGCTGCAGTTCAAGTCTCTTCTCTGGCAACCGAGGCGTCATTCATGTACTACTTCGCCTGGCCTTTGAGAAACTGATAGGCATCCCGAGCACCGGCCAAGGAGAGATTCGCCTGCTCAAGAGCCTCAGCAGTCACCTTTTGGTGCTCATTGGAGACCTCCACTTTCTTCGTCAAGGAGGCCACCTCGCACTGTGACTTATATACTTCCCTCTTTAGGGCCTCAATTTGGGCCAAAGAGACTCGAGCTTTGCCGCTTCTTCTACCCTCTGTGCTTTGGCTTCTTCGACCTCGACCTTAGCAATTTTGACCTCCTCCGCAAGTGATGCAGCCTTCCCCTCTGAGGGTGAGTCCTTGTCTAAAATTCACTTAATGCCTCCCTGCATTCGAGCGCGAGACCAAAGGTTCGGGCGCTTTGGCTCACCAGTGCCCTTGTGAGGTCGATGGCATCACAAGACGAGGCATGAAGCTGCCACCTCTCCATCCAGAACTTGTAAAAGCTCTCGGTGGCACTTCTAATTTCCTCAGGGAGAGCCTCCACCAAGGCTGGGGCCAGCTCATCCTCCCTCCCAACTAGAAAGTTTGGAGACTTCCCCTTCTCCCGAATCGGCTTCTCCTTTGCCGCCTCCTCTTCGGCGGCTTCTGCAGCTCGCCTTACAGCCTCTTCGGCCTTCACCTTTCTCACCATCTCCATTTTGATGGCCTTAGAGGCTGCAGCAAGGAGCTTCGGCTCACCGGTCTGTTCTGCCCTATGGGACACTGAAGTCCCAAACTTGCCAGCTGAGCTGGAGATGTGCACCAGCTTCCTTTTCTTAGTCTCCTCAGAGACTTTCTCCTTGCCCCGAGGCTCCTTAGGCTTCTCTGGCCTCTGAGTAGATGCCTCCTCCAAGGCCCTAGGAGTGCAGTCCTTCGACAGGCGCTCAACCCTGCCTCGAACTTCCTTTGCTCCACTGGACCCAGGCTTCAGGGGCCTCGCCTTCACAGTAGAAGTGGCCTTCAAGATGGAGGCCATGTCTGGAGCTGGGTACTCCCTCTTCTTGAATTTGTCTGCACAACATAGATTAGCATCAGCATAAGAAACAGTCAAGTTAAAAAAATCAAGTGTTGGAGCCCCGTACCTCTGGATGCCATCAGCTCGAAGTCCAAGAAGTATCTGCTTCTATCAATCAGGTGATCGAAGTGCCGAAGCTTCAGAGGCCTCTTGTAAATATCCTCTATCACCTCGAATTCCTCCCTGCTAAGCTCGAACCTCATACTACTATCTGCAAAGATGAACCGCCAACAGTTAGACGAATAAACATTCTGGTTTCAAAACACAAGCAGAGGTCGGGAGACTCACGAGCTTCGTAGTACTGGGTCGGCACTGTGCATGACAGGGCTTTGTCACCCTCCACTGCCTACCATTTACCTCGCACCCAGAACCAGGACTCCTTCCACCCCTTAATAGAGGAAGGAAGTCCCACCACAAAGGGTGCCTGAGCCCCCCAAGGCGTGAGGTAGTACCACCCCCTTGACTCCTTCCCAATTACCCGGGGCTGAAACAGGGTCATGAAGACATGAAGAGGCATGTCCTCCCCAAGTGACACTTCCTTCCACAGGAAGTACGAGCCGACCAGCTGGCTCCACCCATTCGGCAGAACCTGGGTCGACGACAGCATGAATTTCCTAAGCACCGCCCTAAAGAAGGGGTGCAAAGGAAGACGCATACCTGCTTTGAACAGGTATTCACTCACGGCCACGCAGCCGGGCCTCGGATAGCAAGCCCGCTCGTTCGGTTCGGGGACTACATCTCTATGTTATGAGGCACACTGTACCTCTCCCTAAGTTCCCCCAACCTCTTCCCCGTCATGTTTGAGGGCATGCTAGAAGCCCCCCACTCCTGCGTATAATCCACAGCCTCCTCGGCCATGGCATACCTATCCACCTCGGACGTCCCCCCATGACCTACCCCATGGTCTAAAGACGCCACTGTGACAAGCTCCCTACCCGAAGTGGACTCCATTTTTTTGAGAACAAAGACAATAACAACGGTTTTTTATGCAAACAATACCTAAAAGAGTTCAACACAAACGGAGACTGGTCGGAATCTAATCGCAGACAACCTTGACGTCGGAAAATGGGAGATTTTAGAGAATTTGAGAATGCAAAGTGTTCAAAATTTCTGGAAAGTGGGATTTTCTCGCCTTTTATAAAGGTCCAAGACGAACCCCAACCGTCAGATCAAATCTAAGTCAATCCGAGCCCTCCATTTCAGATCCAATCCGATGCGTTGAATTCAAACAGTTTTTCAAATCCTACGCCTCCTGTCTATGCATACCTCACACGCACCTCTCCAACGCGTCTGCTTCTAGAAACTCCAGCTGCGCTCATAATTGCATTTTTAAATCGTCGGCGCTAGCGCCTTGGAAGTCGTAACGGTTCAGCTACCTTTCCTCGAAAATAAGCACAAAACATCAAATCATTGGCACAGCGACCAACGCACAATCATTACCATTTAGCATACAAGCCTCGCAGGTTCGGTCCTCACTACCTCGGCTTTCTCTTCATCATTGAGCAACAAGCCTCGCAGGTTCGGTCCTCACCACCTCGGCTTCCTCTTTATCATTCAGCAACAAGCCTCGCAGGTTCGGTCCCACCACCTCGGCTTCCTCTTCATCATTCAGCAACAGCCTCGCAAGTTCGGTCCCACCACCTCGGCTTCTCTTTTCATCATTCAGCAACAGCCTCGCAAGTTCGGTTCTTCAACCCACCTCGGCTTCTCTTCATCATTCAGCAACAATCCTCACAGGTTCGGTCCCTCAGCCACTTCGGCTTCATCTTCAAAAGTTCAACACCTCGCCTACTTCATCGCTCACCCACCGTAGCAACACTTTTCTAACTCCAATCATGATATAAATATCTATACTTGGACTTGGGGGACTATTGTTACGTGTTGTCACACCTGTCCTACCCATCTGGGCCAATGGTCCACTCATCCTGATCCACATGGCATTCCTGCCGAGGTGGCCCATATTGCCGAGGTGGGTTATATCCGAAGTGCTTCTAACAGAGGCCCATGACCCGATGCGTGGAAGCTTTTGGATGTAGCTGAGGTCCTCAAATGGACGAAGCCCCGAAATTGATGCACGAGCCTCTTAACCACAAGGAAACATCCTCCATGGTCACGTCTCCTAAGAGATCGCCTGCACAGATCTTATTCGAATGATTGATGGAATGTTTGTCATAAGCATAAAGGTCAAGTCTTGTCACTAGCATGGAGACCCTGCACAAGCAATAAATGTGCCGTAAGCTAGCAAGTCAAGTCCCATGCCTAAGAACAGACGTTTGAACTAAGGAGATGAGGCCACGTGCCACTTCATCCAAAGGCTCCCATTCCATATGTACCACTATAAATACCCCCATTGTATAATGTCAAAGGGCCAATGCAAGAATCAATACTAAAGACTGCATTTACTCAACTCTCTCTCATTCACTTGCCATACACAAATCGAGTTTATACACTTTTACTTATACATTTACGAGCACCGGTTGGTAATTATTGTACAATCGGATTACGAACAACCCGCCGGATCCCGAACGTTACTGTCCCGCGTCGTTGGGCTACTCCCACGCCCCTTTGAACCGCTTGTTTTAGACCGTCCACGTGTCTTAGCGTGTTGGACATTCGCCCACGCAAGCGCGGGTGGGACCGACATTTGTTGGCACACCTTTTGAGGTCAACAACAGTCATCAACAATCCAAAATTGTGCATTACTAGCATCACTTGCCAGTAAAACTAGAGAAAACCGAAGGAAAATAAGGCTTGAATTGGATATAGATAGTTTGTAACCCTACGAAAAATTTGTTTTGATTTTTTAAATGTCAAAATTCTAGAGATTGCTGTATATAATCCATAGGCTTGGGTAATTTGGGCTAATTTGATGTTTATTGGACTCAAATTACTATTTTAAGTTATAAAAATAGGCTTAACTTTGCTAACCTAATTTTGACACAATTTTTAAAATAAATGCATGCACAGTTTTACATGTAAGCATGCACTTGCAGTCAACAAAATGAGCTGATCACATCATCATGCACATACTCCATATGCGAGGCATTTTTAGAAAGCGTCTAGCATATGGGGCATGTGTGAAGCACATGCGCACATTTTAATATTGGAAAAGAGTACAACGGTGTCATTTTTTCTTTTATTTTCCATTTTAGTTTAGAAATTTGTCTTGTCGGTGAGACAACTTAACACTTTCGTCATAGCTATGTTTGGAAAGGAAAGAAGGAACGTACCAAAAAGATTTGAACAATCCTTTCCAAGAATATTTCATTTGATTTGGTTGGAGACAAGGAAATTCGATTAAGATTCCACTAACAAAAATTACATATCTAATATGGCAGGCAGAAAATATTCATTCTTGTACCACCTCAGTATACACCAGTTAGTGGAATCTCTCTTAAATCTCACCTCTTTTCAAGTTATGTCCCCGTTTGTCACCCATTATTTGGAAAATTAAAGAATTTTAAATAGTACTTTTTGAAGAAAATGTGGTTAAAAACAAAGAAATTCTATCGATTTGTGTGTAAAATATTTTATTGTGTAAATATTTGATAAAAAAATAATACTGCAACAAACAATTTAAAATTTTAAAGGAGACAAACAATCACTAAATAAGTTAGTGCATAAAGTTAAGGTATGAGAATATCTTTGTTTGTGTTTGTGTCAGTTTCTATGATCGAATCAAATTGGTGGAATATTTTTGGAAAGTGCAAAAATAGCAAAAATATTGTCTCCAAATCGATTGTGGGCAGAAACGATATATGGTGGATGGGATATATCACATGTTGTCGCTCATACATTGTACCAAAGGTGATATCAATTTTACAAATAAGTATAAATCAGGCATTGACAACGTTGTCATATATGTATATATTTCTACAAAACTCTCAACATCTATATAACATAGTTTATCCTAATCAAAATTCAATTTTCAGAAGTCAAAAACACCGCAAAATAAACATATTGCAGTGGAGCGGTCAGTCCTACGAGATAGTAATTGTCAATTTATATTTGCTGAAAGGAATTTCATAGCTTTTAGTGAGATGTTATTAGCGGTGGCAATAGGTCGAGTCGAAACACATGAGCTCGTGGCTTGTTAGTTGAGAGGCAAGCTCGTCAATTGCCAAATTTAGTTTTAAAAGAAAAAATTTAAATAGATAAAAAAAATACAATTATACGAACCCTCCTTCTTTATCTGGGTTTGGAACCGATTATTTAAATTTTGAGTTGGCAAAGTTAAAAATTGTACAGAAATAACTTGTAGGTTGTAACGTGTACAATATTTTAAAGAAAATTAAAAACGGTATTATAGAATAACAAATTCTAATTAATATGATTAAAATTGCATTAAATATCACTTATGACTTACCAAACGACATGTAATTTCGACAAATTAAAATTTACCTTGTAGTCAAAACTCGAAAATGAGCGTTCTGTCAATCCTTCACGCACATTATTAATGCTTCCAAAATACTGTTGCCAATTTAAGTGGGCTGTGACATACGATAAATTGGAAACTGAAAAATGTATTAAACAGATATTTATCTAATAGATCCAATTCAGTTTCCAATTTATCGTATGCCTTATAGATCCAGATCTTAATCTATATGACATACGATAGATTGAAACAGTAAGAAAATTGTAATTGTGTGAACGAAGAAGTGATTCAAGCGAAGAACAAATGCAATAATTTGAAAACAAAAAATGGGTTGGCCTTGTGGGGATATTTATAGGCAAATTTTGGGGGGGGGGGGGGGGGGTCAGCCTTGTGGGGATATTTATAGGCAAAATGTTTTGGGAAATTCAGCCACTATAGCACACGAGCAGCCGAGTCGACCAGCTGCTCAGCCCGTTTGACATCCCTAGATGTTATTATAAAGTATTGAATAGGATTAAAGAAGACAGACAAACGAGTTGAAATTTTGGGATGAGAATCTCAAGTTCTCTATAGTTTCTTAATGAGATTTCACACACCAGTATGCTGTAGGCTTCCTAACTACCAACATTATAGCAAAATGAATTCAATGTATTTGATGCTAAGAATCAGAATCAGGAAATTTTGAGTATATGCCTGTCTTACATCATTTTCAGTTGACATAAAGCAATTTCTCTTACCTGTTTTTTTTATCTTCTCGACTATATTCACTTCAGTCTACCTTTGGGTTAGACTTGACTGACTATAATAACTGGTAAACATTCGAATTCTCAAAATAAAAAATAAAAATGACGAAATTCCACTTGAGACCTAGAAGTGCCAATCTTCTTCAATTAGTGTTGCCCAATTGAAAAAGCCCTCATGCTAACTGTATCTACAGCAAGTTGCACATCCATTTAAGCATTCCAGTGTAATCTAAATCTGCTGATTTGTCGCCTAACTTGGCAAGTCAATTTTCTGACGTTCCTCAACTCAGTCTATTCCTGTGTCACTAGCCCATCATCAATCTCATCCACCCTGGTGACGGGAGCACTCGGCAGTACCTCTTCCTCAATATCTCCTCCATTTGGTATGACTGTCACCTCATGAGACTGTTATCACCTGAAGAAGTTCCAATGGGGTAGCAGCTGGATCCAGTTCCAAGCAACCTCTTGGCGCATCTTGACCTTCTTGACCAGTAAGCAAGTGACAAGGGACCTGATGAGAAAATCGGAACATCTCTTCTTTGGGGATTCTCTTGACCATTTCCGGCTCCAAATTTGGATGAAATACTGTCTTAAAACCGATCGCCTTCACAAGGGGAGCAACAGACACACCCTGTTCTTCGTAATCATCAAGCACCATCACCATGTCATAGCTGTGCATAACTTCACCAGGAGTATCTTCGTTCCAATCAGACGACCAATTTTTATAAATTGCCCAAACATCACTCTTTTTGGGAAATATTCGAATAGTCCCTCGTGGACCTTTTGACCAAACAACCTTCTGAGAAAACGAATTAATAGATGTGCAGATTTCATGTCTGCCAACTCTAAATTCCCCACAGGTTTTGTAGAAACCTGAGCCTACCCAGTCTATGGGACCAAATTCGCTGTTGGTTTTTGAGTTAAGCCAACTGATCCTCACCTTAAATGGTTTCCTAGATATCACCTCGTTAATTAGAGCATAAAAACGCGGCATACTATCGTCATCATCATAAGCAGCCCAAACTTCGTTATTGCCAAAAGAACTTTCACTTCTATCCTTGTCAAAATCATGAAAGTCAGAATCTGGAACATTCAGTGATACTGCCATGATATTCTTCTTATCTGCATTATCAGCAGAACAACTCATAAGATGCTTGTCTGCCATCTCTTCTACCACAGAAGACAACCCAACTTTCCCATTATGGGTGCCTTTATATTTCACTCTCTTGTTTTCTGTTGCTTTCTTGCTCTCTCCGTTCACAATGTTGCTTGGAGTCCCTGATTTCCATTCATTTAGCTTCTTCAGAATATCCTTTCGACCCTTTTCCATCAGCATCTTTCGCGTTTCAAGCAGTGTAAGATCTCTAGTGCTGTTTGGCTGACCGTAAGTGCCAGGAATATGATAGAACCTTGATCCTGATGTACCTGCTCTTCCAAAACCACCATTTTCCTGGCCCACATAATTGTTCATTCCATATCGATAACCATCATTATCTAATTTTTGTCTTTTAATATCTCCCTCCAAACCAGTAGGGGCATTTGATTCAGTATACTCTCTCTTTAATTTCTGTTGTACCAGCTTTACAACATTTGCTGCTTTTGTTGTGACAGAAGGATCCTTGCCACTACTAACAACTTTTCCAGATGGTGAATCCTGCTGGAAGTTTGCATGTTTAAATGAATTCGGACCAGCTATTCCTGGACCTGATTTTTTAGCAGCGGCCACTTTTCTTCCTCTATCAAAAGCATTCCGACTAGGTGCATGATTGCTAGAATTTTGATGCCGTCGGGGAGGAACGGGATTGGAAGATTTGGAACTATTGAAAGGTGAAGCAGCCTCAGAAGCCAGGAAGGCCTTGTGACAATTGGGACAAAGAAGAGTATGGTTAAGATATATCTTAAGATACTCATAATGCATCATGCATCGACGACAAATGGTCCAGAAAGTATCAGTTCTGGAATGGGATGGAGTAGGCACTGATGTAGGGGGCACCTTTGCACCATTGTTCTTCATCTTCAGAACCGATGTTGTCCTACTTGCAATATTATGATATCCATTTGCACGGGATGCAGAAGATGGACCACCAGCATGCATGGGAACTTTCTGTTGGACTCCTCTAGAACCCCTCCTTTGATTATAGGCAAACCTCTTGGCTGTATCTGATAACAAGCTCCAGGCTTCTGAAAGAAGCTTAAATGCTCCATCAGCACCAACAATTTTATTTTTATCAGGGTGAAGCATGAGAGCCAACTTCCTGTATTGTTTTCTTATTGTTTCATCATCACAGGTTGGATTTACACCAAGTACTCCATACCAGTCTACTTCTCCATTAGTTTTGTTCTCCCATGAAATATACACATCAAGTGTTGTCAACAACTGGGTAATATCCTCAAATTCTGGATATAAATTATGTGCTTTCAAGGCAAATTTTCTTGCACCAGAAAAATCCTTTTTCTCTAACTTGTCCTCAGCAATTGTTTTTGCTCTTAGGGCTTCATCTCTGTTGCACTCCATAGTTTCACAATGATGTGACTGCAAAATCTTCACCTGATAGTTGATTTCACTCTTGGACTGGCATGATAACAGCTGAAAAGCTTAAAGATCAGCCAACTGACATAAAAATCTAATGTTGAATCCTAAGGATCTCCCCAGAACGGAGATCCTCTTAAATCTCAATCGTCAAATACCTGACCACAGCAAGAGAAACGAGGAAAGTGATTATGAAAAAGTTCAATAATTAATGGGAAGGCAATTGACATTAATACAGAATTCTCAATCCCCAAAGATGCATTATATAAGTCTCGACTACTCATAAATACACCGGACCAAGCAAACCTGCCATATAAGGTGAATATAGACTTGGTGGTTCGTTACTTTTTTCAAATCCCAAAAAAAAAAAAAAAAAAAAAAAAGACAAANCTTTTTTAAAAAAACAAAAAAAAAAAAAAAAAAAAAGGCCAACAAGAGATCTAAAACACAAATCTTAGGTTCGTAGTTGAAAGGGGGCCCACTTACACTAGGTCAACTTACACGAAAAAAAGCTATGCACCGAATCTTATGGTGAATCGTAGCAAGAAATTCCTAGATACTATTTACAAGCTAGAATGCAAAGTTCAATTCAAACACACCTCTACAGTACCTAAATAAGTCATTTCAATATTTCCAAACATGTCATCTGTCAACAACCAAATGCACATCCATACACCATTATTTACAAGAATTTTATTCCTTGTACCATTCAACAGCATGCATAAACATGTAAAGCTGTACTGCAAGAGGCTTAGATCGTACATAAATATTCTTTTACCGATCAAGAACTCATATGCAAGTTACTTTAACATGCATGATCAAAAAGAGAAGGAACAAAGAAACAATAGAGAGGAATCTAAGAATCATCATAAGCTTAATTCAAAAGCTCTAAACATTGAAACAATTCAAGTTACAATTAAAGCAACAAAATTACCCCAAACATCTGAATACACGAAATTTACAGAGTCAAAATCGATCTGAACAGATTATAAATGTTCAATACTTCAGGCTGAAACCCTAGATTGGATACCAACATTTTTGTTCGAAACACAAAAAACCAATTCAAAATTGAAGAGAACAAAGAATAAATACCCGTTAACAGTAGAATTTGAATCATCAGCAGTCGAATTTAGTCAATATTTTTCCCACCAAATTGAAATTGAAATTGGGGGAACGGAAACTTTTGTCAAAATCCCCCAAGCCCAGCGAGAAATCTGAAATGCACAAAAAAAAATTCTGTAACTGGGAAAAGAAATTAGGTTGAGATTTGCATTTTATATTTTTACACCAACTTTTGTGGTAAACCCCAACTAGAGTTAGAACATAACTAAGGTTAATTAACCCTTTGGTCTCAATTAGAGTTACTTTTTTCAGCTTTTGTTTATTTAGTCCCCATTTGTTTTTCATTTTTGAAAGAACGAGAATGAAAAATATAATCATTATGGACCCCACACAAAATATAGAAATTTAAATTTGGTGACTTGATATGATGAATAACATTCATATTTTTCATTTTAATGGGGAAAGAATGAGTAACAAACAGTAACTTCTTTTTCTTTCTTGGTACATAAGTGTGCTTGTTCGATCATTTGATAGTTCCTTGGGTATTTCTCGTATTGAACATATTCTTTTCCCTTTTAATACGAGGTATCTTTTCTAATTTTGGCTTTTATTTTTTCAAAATAAATGGATTCATTTCCTTTTATATACAAACAATGATGTATGTCATAAATAAGGTAATGGTAATATTTGATTATGCTATTTAAGCATGTGATAATACTATTTGTGCATCATAGTTTATAAAATGATATATATACCTTTAGATTAATTGGTACAAAACACATCCGTATCTTTCATTTTTTGGAATTTCACACATACGTTCATCTTTCACTGGAAATCATAATTTTCATCAAATTTCTCATGTAAAATAACAAAGACACGCTCTTGTTTAAATAAAAGAAAAGAAGAAAAGAAAAATTAAAAAAATAAATTGCAATCATACTCCCTAATGTTTAAAAAAGTGCAAATAAATTATTAAAATATTAATTAGCACAAAATGTCTCTACATTTTAATATTATTGTGCAAAACATCTTTACTTTTTTTTTGACATTTTCATCTTTATTTTCACATTTTATTTCGAAATTCATCATTTTCATCTATTTGTCAATTAAAAGCTGAAAAATAATAAATATACTTTCCTTTTTTAAATAAAACAAAAATAAAGAACAAATTGTAACTATACCCCCCAAAATTTTCTTAAAAAAGTACAAATAAATTGCAAATAAATAATTTAAAAATAGAAATTTAAAAGAACACTTTCTTTTTTAATAAATTATTTGGAATTTACTTGTACTTTTCTGAAAATTTTGGGAGCAATTTGTTCTTTATTTTTTATTTAATTTTTTTATTTAAAGAAGAATGTATATTTGTCATTTTATAACTTTTAATTGAGAAAATGAATGAAAATAATGTTTTTCACAATAAAATGTGAAAAAAAAATGGTGAAAATGTCAAAAAAATGAAATATAAAAATGTTTGGCAAAATAATATTGAAAAGGTATGGATGTTTTGTGATAATTACTATTTTAAAAATTTATTTGGATTCATTTGCACATTTTAAAAGTTAGGGAGTATGATTGCAACTTGTTATTTAAGTTTTCTTTTCTTTTCTGTTCTTTTCTTTTTGTTTTATTTAAATAGGGTAATTAGCACAAAACATCCCTACCTTTCGATGTTTTTGTGGATAACATCCCTACCTTTCATTTTTTGGTGGATTACACCCTTACCTTTACATTTTTTTGCGCAAAACGTCCTTCTGTCAACTTTCCGTTAAAATGCTCCGTTAAATCAAAAAGGTAATTAGCACAAAAGGTCCCTACCTTTCAAAGTTATTGTGCAAAACGTCCCTACCTTTTATTTTTTAGCATAATTAGCAGAAAATGTCCCTACCTTTCAATATTATTGTGCAAAACGTCCCTACCTTTTATTTTTTAGCATAATTAGCAGAAAATGTCCCTACCTTTCAATATTATTGTGCAAAACGTCCCTACCTTTCATTTTTAGCATTTTTACCCCTACCTTTCACATTTCATTGCAAAAAGGTCATTTTCATCCATTTTTTCAATAAAATGACGATTTTACCCTCCTATTGAAATAAAACAAAAAGAAAAAAAAATAATTAATTAATTGCAATCATAGTTTTAAATCTTTCAAAACATTACAGATAAATCCTAAATTCTCCACTACGGCCACTTTCACAACCCCACCAAGCCACCACCTATAGATTCATATAGCACCACTTTTCGACCACAACACATAGGACTCTACCACCACCAGCGTCGCCTCACTCTCCCCAATAACCTCCTCCATAGTATTGGTCACCAATCTGTTCGAAACAACCACATTTACGGTGGTGGAGTCCAATGGGCATGGTGCCCGAAAGGTGGTATTATGTGGATTTATAGTTGGCAGCTTGATAGGTTGTGAAAATGGTGATGGTTGAGAATTTATGATTTTTTGTAATTTTTTAAAAATTTAAGGATTATGGTTGCAGTTGGTAATTCATCTTTTCTTTTTGTTTTATTTGAATAGGAGGGTAAAATCGTCATTTTATTGAAAAAATGGATGAAAATGACCTTTTTGCAATGAAATGTGAAAGGTAGGGGTAAAAATGCTAAAAATGAAAGGTAGGGACGTTTTGCACAATAATATTGAAAGGTAGGGACATTTTCTGCTAATTATGCTAAAAAATAAAAGGTAGGGACGTTTTGCACAATAACTTTGAAAGGTAGGGACCTTTTGTGCTAATTACCTTTTTGATTTAACGGAGCATTTTAACGGAAAGTTGACAGAAGGACGTTTTGCGCAAAAAAATGTAAAGGTAAGGGTGTAATCCACCAAAAAATGAAAGGTAGGGACGTTATTCACAAAAACATCGAAAGGTAGGGATGTTTTGTGCTAATTACCCATTTAAATATGATGGTATGTTTGTCATTTTACATGAGAAATTGGATGAAAATAATGATTTCTACAATAAAAAATGAATTTAGGGGTGAAAATGCCAAAAAATTAAAGATATGGACATTTTGCACAATAACAATAAAAAAAGGGAGAAAAGGAAAAAAGAAAAAAAAAAAAAAAAAAAAAAAAAAAGGAAGCAATCAATATAATCAACATCATCAATCTATACATAAATTTGTATACAACTAGTAGTAAGCACGTGCATTGCACGTCTTATGCATTGATGAATGATATACGCACTATTTTTGAATTAATAATACCTTTTTTTTTAAAATACTAGAGGTAATTGATATTGTTAAAAAGAAAATTACAATTGAGTGTATATATATAAGTTATTATGAAATTATGTGTATAATTTAAAAATGTTGAATAGACTAAAATATAATGATACAATTACAATAATACTTCTTTGTGCACAATATTTTTTTTTTAGTGATCGAATGTCCCAATTAATACATTAATACAACATTTAGCTCATTTGTTACCTCATTAATACATTAATGTCACCTCTTAATTTTGTAACCTCAATTAAATAATAACCTAATGGATGGATTATAATGTAAATCATGAAGATTTATAAGGGCTTTGTTGATGAAAAATAAAAATTGCTTTATTAATGAAAAATAAAAACTCAATGGATGAATTATAATGTAAATCATGAAAATTAATAAGTGTTTTGTTGATGAAAAATAAAAAATGGCTTTGATGATGGAAAATAAAAATTGTAAGAATGAAATAATCAATTGAAAGATAAGTCACTAATTTTTTGTTGATTTTTTTTTTTAATAATTGAATGTCAGTTTCACTCCTTATATAATTCCAATCCAAATGATAAATATAAATTAAATATTTCACCATTTATATTGATTCCAAATCAAATGATAAATATTAATTAAATTGGTAATAAGGGCATTGTTGATGAAAATTAAAAATTGTAAAGAAAAAAAATCAATTGAAGTTAGTTATTGAATTTCCGTATGTAATTTCTTTTTTATTCATTCAATGTCCTCATTAATATATTAATGCAGCATTTAAAATATTTGTAATCTCAATTAAATATTAATTTAATGGTTGAATTATAATGTAAAGCATGAAGATTGAAAATTGCTCTGTTGATAAAAAATAAAAATTCATTGAATGAATTATAATGTAAATTATGAAGATTAATAAGTGTTTTGTTTTTTTTATTTTTTGAATGGTAAGTCGCTGATTTTGTTTTTTTATTTTTTGGATATAATTGAATGTTAGTTTCACTCCTTATATTAATTCCAATTCAAAATGATAAATATCAATTCGATATTTCACTCCTTATATTATATTAATTCTAATTCAAAAAACAAACACTTTGCATTCAGACTTGTTATAATTATTAGTTGTCAAGTGCTATAGTTTTCGTGTCAAATCAAATTATTTCTTTATCCTTTTATATCTCATAATAGTTACTTACCTTGAATATCCAATGCATAGCAATATGGCATAATGACAAGTCTGAGTCTATTTATTTAAATTTTTCAATACGAGTGTGATAACATAAAAATGTATGATAATGACTTATTTTAATTCGAAGATCATTGTTGAGTACCCACTATCTACTTCAACTCTCAATATCATTTATCAATGCCCATTTCAAATTTCCCAATGCAAGCCCCGTTTCAAGTTCTAACTACGCGACGACCGATTGAGATATCAATCTTCTTCTCTTTCTTATAATGCAAGAAACTATCCATTCCAAGCAATAGGCATCCCTCAACATAGTAAATCTCTTGAAAATTACCTCCTTTTAAACAGTGGCAAACTTGATCGTTGTTATAGAACCAATCACCACCTCTAAATTGGATAGCTAATCTCACTATAATATCTTGTATTATCTATTGGTAGTGGCAAGGTTTACAATACTGATAAAAATCATTCAACTCAAGGTGAAGTGACAAGCATAAGTTTATGTTTAGACTAAGATTAACTAACCTTTTATTCTCAATTAGAGTTCTTTTTAGATTTTTTATACATCTTCTTCTTTTTCATTTTTCTTAATTGCTGACGATAAAAAACGGATCAACAAATTTCTCTCATCTAATCAAGATTTTCGCCTCTTAGAATCGCTAATTTTTATGCTCAAATTGGAGCAAGAGGAGATATGACTATTCAGGAGGGAGGTATTTAATTTGCGTGAATTTCTCTTATAGTTATGTGTTTGGGATAGTATTAAATTTT